AGCTGTAAGGACGGGCAAGGAAAGAGAGAAAACAAGCTGACACCCAACTGGTTTTCCTCTTAGTTCCTCATGGTGGGGGGGGAGCAGCAGTTCCTCCCCTATGTCTTGCCATTGTTGCTCATCAGGGATCTCACTGATAAGGGAGAGAGTGTTTAATTGCACCTCCTGGCATGAGGAGACCTGAATGTGTCCTATACGGGAAAGAAGGGCAGTGTGATTCTGCTCTGGAGGCAATGAAGTTTCTGTATCACTGTTACTGGGTCGGCTACCCCAGCAGCTAGGCAAAGCACAGCAAAAACCAATTTATGGCTCTGGAGTTTTTCTTCCAAGTCTCTCCCTCATGACACATAGAAGACAGAGAGCCCTTGAGAAGAAAAAGTATTTACCACAAACTTTAGAGAACTTTGGACTGAGGACAGTTCAGGTGGAAGCTTTCAGAGGGAAGGGAAAGTGAATAGGAAGAGAGAGGAAAAACCAAAGGTCAGAGAATTAATGAGGAGTCTGTGCTGTGAAGGAGAGGGATACATTGAAAAGCAGCAGAAGAAATTGGTGTGAAATAAGGATTCTGAGGGTAGAGGATAAAGGTTTGAGGGACCTGATGCTTGCTGAAGAGTTGGTCTAAAAAGAAAGCAAACAGATCCTTATAGGCACAAATAGGAGTAAGATGTTCGTAGAAGGAGAAGGTTTGGGAATGATAAATGAGAGTTAATTTAATGTAGTGATTTGCAAGAAGCAGTAAGAGGTGAAATAGAAGTGAATTTAGAAGCTGAAGGAGAAAGATATAAATGCAGGGTTTTTGATAAAAATAATATAAAGATAGGTGCAGTATTTCGAGAAATGTGAAATAGTAATTTTCAGAAAGAAAAAGCAGAAACTGAACATTTATAGGAGGAAATTATTATGGTCATGTTGTATGGCGCAGTCCACAGGACATGTTTTAATGTAAGGAAAGAGTATTTAGAAGAAATGTTATCTTTGGTGAATCTGTCTGACACTTGAAATCAGGACTGTCTTCTGTAATATCTCAAGCATAAGTCTCGTCACAGGATTTTCGCTTGCTGACTGCTCCTCTTGTTAGCCATGAAATAGGGGAGTAGAGCAGAAGCTCTGAAGGAAAATGAAGAGTAGGAGCAGAGATTTGACTGAGAGTCTGAAGAAGGTGTTGATGAAAACAGATAATTGATTAAGTACAGATAACATATTAAAAGGGTTGTAGGCCAGAGGATACACTGGAGAATGTTTGTTTGTTTGTTTGTTTGTTTGGAGAACAGGCTAATAAAAGAAAAGAGAAATTGTTACTTGGGCATGTCCTCTTCTGGGAACTGGTAGGAAAGCATATGATGGCATGGGGTGGGAGGAGATGTGGAGGAAATAACATATGCTGTAAGGAGAGGAAAGGTGGACCCAAGTGCTCCAGCTGTATAGGACGGTCTTTCCTATTTGGACAGGTCATTATTACAGCCTATCATGGTGATTGAAAAGAAATTATGATTAAAGATGTCCTTGCAGAAATTTCCGTTCTCTGGATTTACCATGTGGAGGTCTAGAGTCTAGCTCAGAATTTTCATGTGAAGGAAGCCTGAAAAACTTGTTGCCTAAAAGAGTCTTTCATTTCTGCCTTTCTAGTAACAAAGAAAGTTTTTGGTGCTAAAATACGCAGTGTGATGTACTGTACTTCTAAAGCTGTTAAAAGGCTCTTAACAGCTCTATAAAATACTTGCCGCCTCCTCCTGTGCTTTCAGGAAATTTTACTCCAATATTTATTTCACTGGCTTACACAGAATTTCCTCCCCTTAAAAACATAAGTTGTTAATTATTTCTTGGTTGTCATGATCAACTCCCCTCAAGCTATTAAAATGTACTTGCACTGTAGTTTTATTATTCCTTGCAAAATACTGGAAAAAATAATTTTGCTAGACAGTTAAATTTGAAATACATATTGACTCAGCAATGCAAATGGATCTTTTATGCTAATTTCCTGCAAATATTCAAATGGTGTAGTTTTACCAGAAAAAGCACTCATAAAAGCCAGTCTTTATGAATAGTCACTGAAAGTGAATTTTGAATTGTACACTTCAGTTTGGTCTTTGAAAGTCATGATGTGTGGGCTCGTATATATAAGTCACTTCACACAGTAGCAAAAATAGCATACAACTACTCAACACTGCATAAATAGAAGCTAATACTGGTGTAAGGTGCTTTCAGAACATGATACAACAGCAAGCTTACAATACAATTCATAATTCTGCATTTTTTCAGAACTTTATGAATAGAGGAAAAGGCAAAACTGATGAATAAATTAGTTGTCAAGACTTTGTTCATCACTAATAAAATATTATTTAAAAACAATTGTAATGGTGCAGAACATCCATGGTGTTTTGGGAGAGAAATGAACTACCTGAAATTCTACTTTAATCATCTCAGGAATTATCTTAAGTTGGCATTGCACCATATTAGTATAAAATTGTGCACTATTTGTGCACGTTAGCTTTGTAATATTGGAGTTTTGAATAAGTACATTACTGCATTCCCTTAATTATTCTTTTTTTTCCCCCCCTTCATCCTACTAGATGATCATTGAAGTTTGTCAATGGTTGTGTTAGTTTGCATACAAGGCAAGCTTTAATTAGTCCCTATGGTTTTGCCAATCTCCAATAAGATGATCCACTGAGCATATGCAAATAGGTATTTTTTGAGGGCTTATAACTTGATTTTAGAAAGATGACTTCTAATATAAATTTTTTGATTCAGAGCATTCAAATTTTAGACGTGGTCTTCAAAATTTTCTACTCAAGTCTAGTCTAGTTAGACTGCTGTCTAACAAACTAAGCGTTATGGTTCCTTTTCCCTAGCAACCTGTCCTGACCTGCTAGAGCCTCAGTGTGTCCTGAGACTGCTATCCATGGGTTAACAAAGCAGCTGCTGTGGAAAGCTTTTCTTCAGATGATGTGATCTGCCGTGGATCCAGTGTTGAATCATTAGGTTCAGGTGCCCAGTTATGTCACAACTTTCTGATGCAGGTCAGATTCCCCAGTGGCATCCGTGTTTCTTAGGGCATCCCAGTGTCTAATGAAGGCTTTCTTTTCTGATGAGATGAACAGTTGTAACTATAAGCTTGAAGCACTCAAATGAGGTCACTTTCCTTGTGCCACAGTTCTAATTCTGTTAAATGGGCATAATGAATTCTTGATGAGAATTCATTGCATAATACTAGCACACTTTCTTGCCTGGTAGGATTCCAAGTTTTCATATATGTACATTAAAGGGCCTTCAAAACCCTCTTGTGAACAGGATCCATATGTCCTGCAAAATCACTCTTAGGTTTGCCTTAGGATGATTTCTCATCTTTTAACCTCCTTCAGGTAGTTTATTCATTATACTCCCAATGAACAAAAAGGTAATGATCCTTGACCTGGCTAACTGTGCTGTTGACCCGCAATGTGGTTTTGCAAAGTTTATACTACTGTCTTTGGATGAAATATGCGAAGGGGAAAATTTTGATCTCTGCTGGTTATTTTTGGGAAGAGGGGGTATAACATGAGTCAGGGCCATTTTCCCAAAGTGAGTACATTGAAAGATGCTACAGTCTACTTGGGGGGTGGTCAAGTATTTGCAGAATATAACAGAAAGTGCATTTTTTTGGTGAATGTACGCTGAATTTCTGTTTTGACACCTGTTAGACCTACAAGGAATCTTGGACCAAGCCTTGCCAGTTGCTGGAAAGGGGTGGGACAGAGCCAAAACTGATTTTTTTTTTTTTTTTTTTAATATTTCAGGAATACCAAGAAATACCCACAACTCAGTCTGGTGTCCTTGGCCACTTGGCAAGTTTCCACCTTTGTCAGGTGCATGCTCCACGACTTACAGGTGTTCCCATTGTTTGATGTCCAGAGATGGTAGCTAATATCTGAGATTTTATTACTAGGTTGTTTTCTGTCTGTTCTCTCTCCAGTGTGTTCTCTAAGACCTGGTTTGTTCTTGATGTGCAGAACCTCTGACCATCGCACTCTCGATGGTACCATGGTAGCACATGGTCTGACTGTATTTATCCAGAAATGCTTTATGGGCCGAGTTGTTGCACTATGCCTCAGACAAATGCTTCCCCCCCAGCCCTTCTACAGTAATCAAAGTTCTTTACATTTGAATACTTTAGGGCATGTAATTCTGACAACGGAGCTATGATGCTGAATGACTACCAGAACATGAAAACACTGCAGAGTGACTGATAACACTTCAGCAGGAATTACTATTTATCTTTTATGACCTTAGGAAAAAGATCTGTATTAAAGCAGAGATGTTCCAGGAATGGTCAAGGAGCTCGTTTGATATGGCATGAAGGGCTTGTTAAAATGCATTAATAGTTATGACAGAAGATGATTTCTTAGCAGTTGTATATGTTGCCAAAGAATGTAGCCAGTAAAAGTCCAAACATGCAAAGGTAACAAGTTACTGGAGGCAATTTCAACTAAATTACGAGGAAAGATACCAGCCAGGTTGCAGCTCACGCAACTTCCACAATAAAGATAAAATTTATAGATGCTTCATATACCTTCGGGGGACGTATTAATTGGTGCTTCTCTGTCCAGAAACACACGTAAACAACCCGCTGCAGCTCACGGCTCAGCTCGCTGACGACAAGCTTCGCAGCTTGTTCGTGCCTGCTGTGCGTAGCTTGTACCCAGAAGGAGAAACGCGGTTCACGAACACGCGCCTGAAGGTCCGTCGGGACGGCGCGTCTTCATCGCGCTTATTTTGCCGGGGAAGGCGCAGCACGGCAGAGCCCTGCTCTGGTCCGTGCTCCTCTGACTCCAAACTCCAACCCTCCCTCCCTGCAGCTCGTCGCAGGCGCGTCCCCCGCGGTCCCTTGCCGGGGAGGTGTCCGGGGCGGCCGCTTTAAAGCGCGGCGGGGGCGGGCCCGCGGCGTTGCCGGGCGACAGCGGCGGCGTTGCCGCGGAGAGCGCCGGGCGCCGCCGGCCCGACCCGCTCCGCTTCGCTCCCGGGCGCCGTGAGCGGCGGTGCATCAACTCATCCACCGCCCTCCGCCTGCCCTGGCCCCGGCCCGGCCCGGCCCGGCCCGGCCCGGCCGTGCGCCCCTGCGCAGGCGCTCGCTGTTAGAAAAGCTCCACACGGGACAGATGGGGAACGTGGTTTTTTTAATCAGCTTTGCCGAGCGCTGAGAGGAGCAGCCGGCGTGAGGTGGGCGGCGGGGTAAGGCACGGGGGGACGGCAGATAACACGGCCGGAGAGGGTCCGGCCGCCGCTCCCGCTCGCTGGCATCCCCTGGGAACAGGGGGGTGTCCCGAGGTAGCGCGGCGGGGACGGCGCCCGGCAGCTCCCAGGGAGCGGTGCGAGGCTGAGGTAAGCGCCGGGGCGCTGTGGGCGAGTTGGTCCAGCCAACTCGTTCGGAACCCTCGGGAAAGACGTAAGGAGGCCGAAGTGGCGTGCCCCGGTGAGCCGCCGTGTCCCGTGCTCCTCGCCGTGACACGCAAAGCCGGGTGTCGGCCTTGTGTGACGCGACGGATCCGGGATAATCTGCGCTGGGCCATGAGCGTGTGCGCCCTCGACTCGGCCTAATCCCCTGCCCTGGCCCACAGATGTCTCAGGCGTAGCCAGCAAAGGTTTGCAGGTGGGCCTGCTGGCCGCATTTTAGTTAGGAGAAGAATTCAAACCCTTAAAACCCTTAGCAGGGCATCATCACCTGTGTTGGTGCAAAAGAGCATGTTCCTTTTACGGACTGTGTCTGTTTTCTGTGGTTTGCAGATCCCGGCTGTTACCCATGTGTATTTCACCGGCCAGAAGACATAGATGTCCCTTGCGACTCAGCCCCTGCATGAGTGCTTTGAGGATGAAATGCTACATAAACTCTTAAAGCACACCACCTGAGGACATTGCTGGCGACATGGACATCATTATTTATTTACAAATGCTTTAATCAGGAGGAGCTTTTTTGTAAACATGAATTGCCGGGCTCTTTCCTTGAGGTGTCGTTTCTTGTTTCATGCTATTGAAACATTAATCTTAACTTATTATGACTCCTTTGTGTTGGTCAGCTCTCAGGGACATTTCCCTAGGCTTGAAAATGTGGGAGCTTTCAAGAACGTGTCAATCGTGCCAACTCAAGCCACTTGTGGGCTGCCAGACCGAAGTACTTTTTGTGATAGCTCAGTAGCTGTTCAAAGTATTATATCCTGCACCCAGAGGTTTTGTGTTCAGGAATGTCCATACAGGTCGTCCCCTTCGTCCTACACACCACTTCTGTCAGAAGGCCTTGGTACCTGCATCACAGAGGACAACAGGGACTTGCATCCAGGGTCTTTCAGCAATGCTTCCAGTTTTATTTTTCATAATCACAAGGATTGCTTTTCTACTCCCCGTTTTCCAAGGCTTGCAGCTTCATTTACGTTAACTGTATGGCTGAAACCTGAGCAAGAAGGTGTAATGTAAGTAGTATTGAAGGTGTTTACTTTCCTGGTGCTCTTAAAAAAATTGATCGTTGTAGTCACAGTCATTATTAGCAAGCTATTTAAAATTTTAAAGGTTGCAGTGAGAAACTGTGACGTTTTTAAAGCTGTATTTAGATTGGGGTCCTCACAGATGTCAAGACAAGTAGCTTCAGTTTCAGAGGCATTGACTCAGATGATAGTCCAATTGCCTTCAGTGGGAACTGTTCACACCTAATGTGCAGGTCTGTTCTCAGAAATTTGTATTTCTAATTCATAATCCTTCTAAAAGCTGCTAGAAAATTATGTTGTCAGAGGGTTGTGCTGTTGCTGCTTTCATGATGGAAAAAAACTTATCTAAAATATTTGGAATCCTCCATCGCGTTTATGTCTTAAAAATAAACAAGGAAAGCCACCAAAGTGAATATGGAAGAGCCATAGTAAAAGGGCCATAGTTTCTCTGGAAGATCTGGGAAATGCTGCCTGACCGAGAGATTGTGCTGCTACATTAACAAACGATTCCACTATTCAGAAAACTGCTAGTGAAGTTTCACTAGGTGTTCACAAAATAGAAGTGGCTAAATGTGCTCCCTCCTGTTTGCCCACGTTGCATTTTTAGGACATGTTGCTGTTCTGAGTGATTGGGCTTGACTGGGCCTTACTGTAGTGAAAAACCTGCCTTTTGAAAAATGTATCCCAGATCCTGCAAAAAAGATTCCCTTCACCTATCGCAAAATGTAGAGGTTCCTACTCTTTCTTTCCTTTGCTATGCAGAGCCTCTTTAAAAAATAAAGCAAACAAAAAGTATAGTATGCTCCTTCAGAGTATATGTCACAAATGTGTTTGTGCTTATGTTCCTAACTTATTCTTAGAATGAAGCTAGTGATATGCTCTGAGGCATTCTTGATACTTACTTTTTATACTGCTGGGAAGTAGTAACTTGCCTAGGGGTATGAAAATCATCAGAGACAATAGAAATATCTAAATTTATAGTGTAAAATTATAGTCTGTTTTATGCAACGATAATTACCTTTTAAAAAAATCAACCTAACTGTAGAATTTGTGGCTATGGATGGGAAATAAATGAGATCTGCAGAGCAAAACTGAGTTTAGTTTGAGTTAGATCAGCTTAGATGGTGGTATGTTTAAAGGTGTCTCTGCACCTTTGGCCTTTGTTTTTTTTTCAGACAGCAATGGTTGAATCTTGAATGTCAGAGCGTCCATTCCTGGTGTTGTCCTGTTCCATGAGTTCATGCTCACACACGTGGGCGTATCAGAGTCTTGTTCAGCAGAGCACGTGCCTAACTTGAAGTAGAAACATCCTGCTAATTTCCAAGCAAGCTGTTGCAGTGATGTGTTGAGTGAGATCTGTGAAACTTCTTTGTCAATGGGATAGGCTTTTGATGCGTGAAGCCTAAAACAATGAAATGTTATGTCCTGAGGTTCAAATGATTAAGTTCTGTGAAGACAACCAGACTCTAGGATGACTGATAAATCCGTGGGCTAGTGTAAAAGATTAACTTTCAATTGCTACTGTTTTAATAACTACACAATGTACATATTCCTGTTCAGTGGGTTTTATAGATCACTTTAAAATTTAAATGTTTTTATTCAATTTTTGTAATAGATTACTTAATTCTCTTGCCTTGTGAGTGTACTGCTACTCAACATGTAGAGATGACAGGGGCGAAGCCCAGGCCTGGAAATTGAAGTTGGACAACAGTTTTTCCAGTGCTCAGGATATGTCACTGTCCACATGCTTTTTTTCGCACTGTTCACAGAAAGAAGTGTGTTAATTTTTTCTTGCTTCAAAAAAAGAATTCAGAGCTCCAGTTGTGGTGGAACAATAGTTGCACATATACAGCCACTGAAGCTTGACTCAGAAGGCATCTCACAAGCAAGAAATAATTTTCTAACAAACTAAGTTGCTTTCCCTTTTGTTATTGGTTAGTGAGTCCTTTAGGTTGCCAGATAGAGTTTGACTTACCAGTTGTCCTACATTTTGCAGTCCCTGATGGGGAATTGTAATTTTGAGACCTTTTAAACTTATAACAGGAACCTCATGAAACTGGGATTCGTTCTAATAAAGTTTTTGTGCTGCCCCCAAAGGACTAGGAAGATCAGCCAGAATGAACCATTTATTTTACTAGTAAAATGATTGAAAGTTTAACACGCTATTTTTTTTTACTAGCAAAGTGTTCTTACATCAGGTACAGCAGACCCATGTGTTTTGGGCATGCCATACTAGTGTGTTTCCGTGCTAAATTTTATGTGGTCTGGCTGTGAGAGTCAGCTTAGAAAAGAAGCTAGGAGCGTTGCTGCATAGTATTCCATCACATGTTGTGCCATTTCTGTCATGCATGTGCCCATGTAAGAGAATAGCAGGATTTTTCTGTTAGAAGTTACTGTGCTAGTTGAAACGAGAGAGAGAGAGATGTGAGGATCCAAGGTCTGAAGGCTCTTTAAAGACTGTGATGAAATATATGCAGATAAGCAGAGACACCAGGAGTTTTTCTTCATCAGTTTCATATACCAACTTTTCTTATGTGAATCTGAAAAGAATAAACTTTGCTACAAAAGGAGAGGATAGTCACCTGACTGATTTTATGGATTTGTTTGAAGCCCCGGTGTTCTTTTAAGATGTATAGTAGAGATAACTGTAGGCATGCTTTTAAATCATTGAATATTGGAAATATTGAAGAAAAGCAAAAGAATAGCAAAAAAGCACTGACATTTGTACTCCAGTCTTTAAATTTACTTTCCCTTTAGGCAGTAAGTTCACTAAGTGAGCAGAGTTCTTGCCCTTGAATTTCATTCTTTGCTCATGCTTCCTCTCTTGCTGCTTGTACTCATCAGTTAATATAATTGCTTTCAGTAAGCCCATGTGTAGCCTGTATGTAAGCCTTAGCAAAATATAGGAAACCATATATGATGATGATAACCCTTCACAATGCACTAGGATAAGAATATGAGTAGAAGCTTAGCATGTATGAGTAATCATTACAGGCAGCTTATGTCAATGTAGTGTGAACTGGAGTAACTGGAAGTTAAATGAGCAGAAGACACGGGAGGTGGGTGAGAAATGAGGTGAGATCCTTATTACATGCAAAAAAATCAGCAGGAATTGCCTGATTGTGAAGTGGGTAGCACATAGGGGTTTGTAAACTTTATTTATCTAAGGGACTACAGTAATATCCTATTACTTTGTATCCATTCAGCTGTTTTACATTAGTAATTAGACTGGAAGGGGGATTTGCCTTAAGATACCATTCACCTGATTTGAACCAGTGCATATGTTTCCATTTATAAGTGCTCCAGCTGATGAGTGGGAATCACCAGTGCAACCATGTTAGATTCTCTAGAATGTTTTTCTCTTTGAAAGCTGACTGAGCTTTTTGTGTCATTTGCTTTTTCCTCCTCCAAACCCACCATTGAGATATATGTAGTTAGCAATTGGCTCTGTGGGACTGCAGGTTACCAGAAGCTGAAAACTTCACAAAGAACAGTGGCTTCTCTCCATAATCATGGCTGGAATGGAAAATCGTGCTCAGAGTCAGAAATAATACTGCTGCCTATTTCACCTGTGTTAACACTAGTTTGGTGTGTGGTGTGGTTTGTGGTTTTTTTTCCTTTTCTTTTTTCTTCCCCTCCCTCTTCTCTCCCTCTTGATTTTTCTCTTTTACTAGCAAGTCACAATTCACATTTGTTCTTTCCAGTTTTCAAAGTGATGTACATCAAGGTCGCTTCCCTTCTTAAAGTCATGACACCTTAGGGGATAAAAACAATGTGGGGATGTTTGTTTTAGATAACTAAAATAAACAAAAACCTGGATTATCCAATTATTGTTTATCCAGGAACTGGGTAAATCCAGTTCCTAAATATTTTGCTACTTAGCTGAGCCTTCCTTCACATTTATTATCTAACAAAATTAGCATGTTTACAAGCAAACAAAATATTGAAAAGACCAGTGGACAATTTATTAAGAAATGTGGTTTTAGTAAGGTTGGGAAAACAGAATTCTGCATTTTGTAAGGTGTTTCATTGACAACATTCCAGCAGGCTAAAATAGTTAAGATGAATTAATTTTTCTCTTGGATTTAAAGGTGATTTAGTGAATAATGGCAATATAAAAAAAACCCAACCTTTTTGATACTTTTACGAATGCAAGGTAAATGAAGACCCTTATCAGTAGATAGGGGATTTTTTTTTTTTTTTATTTTTTCCCCCTGAAATATTGTCCAAGTAAATCCCAATCTCATACAAATTTTATATGCCTCTCTCTTGTGACTTAGTGCACTAATTGAGTCTGATGTAACTGTTAAAATATTTGACTTTTCGTGGGTCAGTAAATTGAGGGCTGTATTTCTCAAGCAACTGAAATGGGAAGGGTAGAAATTTATAATTTTTCTTGTAATGATGATTACCTTAATAAAATACATAGTTGTTTCACAAGCACATAGAGCCTATGCTTTCTCAGGACTATTAACATCATGGTGATTCGATTGGCAAAAACATTTCGGGAGCTAGAAATGCAAAATGGTTTGCTGTGTTTGGTATGCTTTGTACCTTATGTGTCATTTTTGCATTTGCTAGTGATGGAAATCCTGTGTGGGAGGAAAAAAAATCCTGCCAGGTGGCTGGATATCCTCCTTGCCTTGCTCTAGTTTCTCAGGTTAGAGAAAAGCTGTGCTAAAGGGAGAGTGTAAGGTAAGCTGTTGTCATTGCTACCGTACCTGGACAGATTTGGTGAAAAGATGGAAGACTTATTTCCAAAGCATGTAATTTGTACTGCTTTTTGTGGTTATATTACATTTGCCTAGTTAGACTAAGGAAAATTTAAGCGCCTCCACATGATGTGCTGAGTTTTACAGCTTTGTATGAAAAGTGCAGCAGAGACCTGCGCAGTGCTTGCCAGTCATTGCGGTTTTTGTCATGGAGCGTGAAGAAAGGAGATGAAGTGGACCCCTCCTCCACCCCCAAGTGAACTGGGGTGGGACACACTTCACCTGAAAAAAACCCCAAACCAACCAACCAACCAAAACGCCCAAATAACCCAGAAACCTTACAAATCAAGACAGAAGCTATCTTTGCTGAAGTTCTTTTACACTTAGTACATCCTGTGACTTTCACTGTCACTGAGCATCTTCTCAAGAGCTGTATTTTTAATGTTTATTTTAATACATTCTGGTTAGCATCACTTTACAGGATAGCACCTTGGCAAGAATGTGTATATGTGTGTGCCTCTGACCTTATGTTGTTTTTCTTGGTTATTTCCAAAGGTGTGTGATAGAAAAGGCTGTTGATGGGCAGACTGTGTTCAAACTCACAATCTCTGAGAAAGAGACCATGTTTTATTATCGCACAGTAAATGGTTTGCAGCCACCAATAAAAGTAATGACACTGGGGAGAATTCTTGTGAAGAAATGGATTCATCTTAGTGTGCAGGTGAGTAAAATAAAACCTATTTAATATTTGTTGAAATGCAACATTTGTGTGAACATGGTATAACTGTATAAATATAAAAGAATGAATTGGGAGATGTAAATGATAACTCTTGAGTCTTATAGGTAAGGTTCTTAGTTTGAGAGCTTGTTTTGAGGCAATTGCTGATTTAGCACTGGAAAGAAATGCTGTTCCCATTCTTCTGAATGAGTAGACTGAACAAGGCTGAAAATTCTCGCCTTTAGGAACATGAGTATGTGAGGTGAAGAAAAGCTACCTATATCCAACATTACCAATTAGTCTTGGGTCTCAGATTATTTCCTAAAAAACAGAGTGTCATCTTGATCTATAGATGCTAACGTACTTATCTTACAGAGGTCTGTCCCATTTAATTTTAAAATCTTCTTACAATGCACATAAGTAAATGTGTGAGTTTGTGTAGGATCAGCCAAAGTAGTAAGTTACAGAGCTATTACTTCTTATTTTAAAAACATGATTCAGAATTCTTAGACCACAATCCCTGTGTTCCAAGAGTCTTCTGTTGACATAACTTTTTAATAAGTGTACAAATATCCACTGAGGATAAAGCAAAATTGAGTTTGTTAAAATTTAGACTGTATGTACCAAAATCAGTAAACAAACACAGAATAAATTAAAATTCAGTTGTTTGCATGTCTTGTAATTCCCAACAGACACCCTAGTAAATTCTATTTGTAAGCCAAGTTCAACTAATAATTATAAAACACAATTATCAGGTATTGAAATGTTTATCTTCTCCTTCCTTCATTTCCTTTATCCGTCCTATTAAATTTCATTTGGTCTACAGCACAGTCAAGAATAGTTTTGCTGCTTTCTTGAAACTTGCTAAAAGGTATTGACTGTGATTTGGATTTTCAGTGCTGATCTTGTCACTTGTAAGTAGTATCTAAGCTGATGTCTTTATTTTTTTGCAGTTTTCTTTTTTCCAGGGTAACAGCATAGTAGTGCGAATAAGATTTGGGCTGTTGGATTAAAAGAGTGACCTTAAGGTAGAACTAATGAACTTTACACTTCAAACACTCAAGGGTGCTATATTACTGCTGTTGCTGTCAGCTGCATTTTGTACTAGCCTCAGAAATTGCTAAAGCCTGGGATAGCCAAGTGGAGAATGAAAGGGGTGGTTAAATACACACACATATCTTGAATTATATTGCAAAGAAACCTGAAACACCCTGTAGAATCTGGTCCTTTATTTCTTCGAGGAAAGTTGTTCAATTCGTAGCAGGAGTTAAGAGGCATAGCTTCTAGACCCTCAGAGGAACTGCAGGCTTAATACCTTTTCTAAGTTTCTGAGCTCAGGGTAGAACCTTTTGGTCTGTGCTTTGTGCTATTGCAGGATTCAGCTTTCCATTAAAGGTGATAGTGGCTGCAGCATGATCCATTTAGCCCTGGGACTGGCCATGAAACTTTAGGCAAAGGTTTGGGTTTTTTTGTTTGTTTTGTTTTTCTTTTAGCAACTGTCCATTGTAAATGGAACTGTAAATACAAAATGAGAATAGGAGAGAGACGATACAAAAATACACAAAAGTAACACACGTATGAAAGTGTCCCATGTCTTCAGACAGTAGTAGTATGTGATAATGATACGTATTATAGTGATTCAGACCAAAGGTTTCCAAGCCAAACAGTCAGTAGGGGCTGGGGGCCTGCAAACAGGGGAGTTACCGTGGTCAGTGAGGAAAACTGAAATATTTGTACATGGATGCCAGGTCACAGACACTGTGACAGAGGAGTGTGAAGTATTGGTTACTGATGTGAAAGTGAATTTAGAGAGAGGAAAAATATGGTATGATTGCAGATATGTTTGGAATTCAGGTGTAAGTGCATATGCCTACTCAGGAATGACAACAGTGAATGCTAAATGGTGGAATAGCACCAAATAGTAATTAAATGATAAGAGGGAAGGGAAGAAGAAAGGACAGCACAGATTGAAAATAATTTCTTTGGAATAAAATAATTCTAGGGAAAGAGAAAGGTAGTAAATTAATTCTACTGAGGTAAACTAGGAATTTAAATCCTTGGGTTTGGATTTAGATGTGTAATTCATTAGAGGGAACTACTGTTAAGAATTGTGTCATTGCAGAGACTTATTTTCCAGTTCATAGCTGGGAAATTTAAGTTCCACTAACAAAAGCAGGGCCCAAACATTCCTGTGTGTTACGCATGAAAGGTTTCTTCATCAAGTAGCTGCTGAAGCAGAAAGTCTGGATATACCAGCTTTGTTAAGTGATGAGGGCATTATCAGAGATGTAGGTCTCAAGAATAACGATGAGCATTCATAACTAGAGTCAGATGAAATAGAAGAGTAAACAGTTCTTTGGTTCTCTAAGTACTCTTTCGGGTTTCAAAGAGAACAAAAAAATAGAACTATAAGCTGCGGAGTCCAGAATGGAAAAAAAAATTGAATGGAAAAAAAGGCATGAAGGTTGTTAAAAATTAATGTAATATAATTAAGAGAAATTTCTGCCCTTTAAGTGAAAACAATGGATATGTAGTGCCCAGGCTTATCTGAGTAGATAAGCATATCTACAGTTAAAGATGGCAGAGTATGTGAGCACTGGGAATGGGGAAGCAAATTCACAGAGAATGCTATGTAGGAATAGGAATAGAACTAGAACTATGAAGACGTTGGTCTGAAATAAACTGTCAAATGGTAAAAAGTTCTTGTGTTTTTTTTTTTTTTTTGTGTGAGTGTGTAAGAAGTCAAGACCAGTGTACAGTGGAAGTGTGCTTGAGATTAAGGATGATTTGAGTAAGGTCCTCAGAATAAATAAATACTTTTCTTCTGTTTTTAATACCAGGAGTCACAGAGCAAACCCAACCTGGGTAACAGAAATTAATAATGGAAACAGAAGTGATGATAAAGAGGTAGAATCATGAATTTGCAAGCTTATTGTGTATGTGCAGCTGCAATCAGATGGTCATTGTCCAAAAATTCCAAAAGAACTGGTATATAAAATCCTTTGACAAAGAGATACTCTATGCAAATCTACCAAGTCAGAAGTGCAGCTATAATACTTATATTTAGGAAGAGTGTCATGCATTGATGCCAACCACGCACCTGGGCCCTCCTCACTCCTGCCAGTGGAACAGGGGAGACAATAGCAATAGCAAAAATGAGGAAAAACTCATGAAGGAAAGGAGTCTGGAAAGGGAACAAATGGTGTTAAGGCAATCACTCACCGCCTCCCACAAGCAGACCACTGCCAGCCAATTTCTTAGCAGCAGGCCACCTCGGAAGTAAAACCCCCAACTCCTCGAATTCCTTCTTCTACCCCAGTTTTTATTGATGAATGTGAGATTATACAATAGGGAATATCTCTTTGTCCCAGCTGGCTCCCTTCCTACTTTCTTGGCCAAAGCCTGGCTTACCACTGAGGTGGGATGGGGAGTCAACGTGGGAAAAGAGAAAGGCTTGACACTGGGCAAGCTCTCTTCAGCAATAACAAAAATATTAGAGTTTTGTGAATACTGTTTTAGCCACAGATTTGGAACACAGCATCATCCAGGGTATTGTGAAAAAATTTAACTCCATCCCAGCCAAAGCCGGTATCAAGAGGAAGGAAAATGGATTTTGGGAATGCGCACCTATTTGTCTTGACACAGTGGCATATGAGGATTTAGAAGAGATCTTTGAAGAAATAGATAAAGATGTGGAGCTAAGTGAAAAAGGGGATAAAATGCAGCATGGATTTACTATAGATAGCTCATCACTGTCTAACCTCTTAGCTTTTTTTTTGATGAGAAGGCTGATTTTCAAGCAAAGTAAATGTGTCAGATTTCCTCTATCTGGAGTTCAGTTTAGCATTGATGTGACAACCTATGAGAAGTTGTAGGGTCAAAGGGAATGCTCATGGGAAGGGTTGGCAACAGATACTGCTCAAAGGAGCATGCTGATAATCCTGGGGAGAGGGGAGGCAAAAACCCTATTGAATTGTTTGAGAATGTTTTTGGACCAGCCTTGTTTTACATTTTTGCTAATGATCTTGGCAGAAATATTAGGAGTCCACCAATAATACAAACTGGTAACAGACATAATCAAAAAGAGGAATAGTAAGATGTCATACCGAAAGAATGACGTGACCAAAAAGACTAGAGGAACTGGCATGAAATAAAATTGCTATTACAAAATGCAAAGTAGTAAACTCGAAATTCCTCGCAAAATTTTTTGCTAAGTAGGTAATCATTAGAGGATTGCTGAAGTAGGAGAAGATGCTGATTCATATCAATTCATAGTTATAGGGTGGACTATGGGATTTTTCTTCTTTTTATTCCTTTTCTCTGCAATATTACTGTAACAGCCACTGCCAGCAGGATGGTGGACATGAGTCATTAATAGTCTTGGAAAGGACTGTTGAAAAAGCTCCTTGAGACAGGATAGCATCAGTCTGAGACTAACTTCATACTTTTTAATAGTTTTTGCAGCCTTCTTAATATGCAGTCTATTGCTGACAGAGCTATTGGCTATTCATTCCTTTGCTCTTTATACCCAGTAAACATTTGAGAAAAGTCAAACTTGAAAAGATCTGCTGAGCTAAGTTAAAATGGATTTGCAACAAAAGAATTCTGACAATTGTTTTCCTTCTTTTTGATTAATATGACTTTTCTCTAGTGATGTCTACCTTTGTTTTCTACTGCTTATGATTTGTAAAGGAAGTTATTTTTTCGTTTCGCATTTTCAAACACTTTTGTTTGGTGTTTTTTGGTTTTGGTTTTTTATACAACCAGAAATTGTGAATCCCGTTTCCTTGAAATTACTGCTGCTATTCTAGTTGATTTCAGTTGGTGAGGATTAAGTCCTTTAGGCTTTTGAAAATTTTAGGATCCTTCTGTGGTTTTGATCTTGATTTAATGATATTTTTCACTGTATATTTTTAGGTCCATTTTAGTAGAAACTCTAAAGGTACACAGTGGAATAAAAGATATATAGCCTTAACTTAAGAGTCTGATATACACTCTGAAGT